ACCGGCGAGACTGCCATGAGAATGAATGTTGTCAAATTAATTACATTTTGTCATTTAAAACGTGAATTTAGATGCATGTGTAAGGCGTGTTTTGTCAGAACAGAGCAAACTAGCTGTTTTCTGTCCAGTTAATGATCGAACCTTTTTGAAAAAAAGGCTAAAATGTATGAATTCGGATGGTAGTTTAAATGAAATAATAAAAAAAAGATAGAAAGAAGCCACATTCAGATAGTAACAGGAGATCGAACCATGACTGGCAGTTTGGTTACTCACATCTGTGGTTTAATTAACACTTTTCTATGACACTTCATTTTATTGGTCTGAATTAGTTTTAAAATTCTATTCATTGGAGCCGTGTATCTACTCGTAATGTAATGACCAGTCATACGCAAATCTGCTAGGCCTCGAGGGTGCCTAGGTCTTACCGTTTGGCTAGTAAAAATGCCAATTTGACAGTCGGAAACCGAAGAATGTCTATCCGTCACCTCATAAGGCTCCAAGCAAACTAATCGGTAAGCGGCCTGGTGATGACCCTTCCACGTGTCGTAGACGGTCAAACCTTAGAATTTCACCGTAAAATGTATGTAGTTTAAACAAATTATATTTAGAAAAAATTGCACCAAAATGAAGAAATAAACTATGGAAGTGAAATCTTTAAGGATTCGTTTGAGTAGATTTCTACTACAGAATTAGAACACCTGGTTAGGACCTTACTATAGAACTTGACAGCAAATTTCAAGAATAGAGAGATTTAAAACATCTAAAAATTCATTTGAAAACTGCTTCAAGTTGGGATCGAGTGACATCCACTTTGATATGAAAAAAATATCTAACCAAAAAAGGAAGTGGGATTTTATTAAAAACAAGCAGTCACTTGCTTCTTGGACTGAGGTGGCGAAGGTCGATGAATCTGGAAATAACTTCAAAAAACTACTCGCAATATTAGAATCCAATAGTCAACATGCACATTATTAATTTTAAAACTTGGCTTGGGACCAGTTGACATTTTCTTATTTAACGCCATTTTTTTGCATTTCTTTGTGATTGGTACTTGAGGGGGTTTTTGCAATTTGAAGATCCCCTACCAATACAGATTTAATTTCGTATTTTAAGGTACATTTGCAACAAAACCTCACAGCGAAAAATCAAATCCTTGCTTGACTAGCACTTGATGAAATGTGAAGGTTGGAATATTTATGCGTCAAATAAGTCAAATTTAAATGCTTTTGAATTAAACGTAAAGCAGAAGTAGATTTCAACGACCAACCTCCCCTAATTCCATAGCACACGCCCAGTTTCTTTAAATTACAAGCAAAACACCCATAAAAACAACAAGCACACGCAACCAAAATACAACAAATCAAACTGCATTTCCACAGTGTTTAAGGCACGTCTACTGAGTAATTCCTGCTAAACAGACGCTTCGTGTCGTCATTAACGCGATTAGCATAAAGTCTGATTCAATGAGAGCTAAAGCATGGTGCGAATCCAAGGTATAGGAAAACACGGAGGTAGGAGGATATACAATTTCGACTTGGTATTCAAATCTAGCATAAATGTCCTTGCTAGCGATGCGCATATTGTCCTTTCTTGACTTCGCGAATACCTCGGTAAGTCATAAACGTACTGGACTTAGCTGAAACAAGAAGACTCCCTTTGGGTTAAACGGTTTTCAAGAAAATTAGGCAAGGTGCATTTTGGATTTCTGTTATACGAAGATGCACAATGCGGACGGCTTTCTTTTAAATAAGTATCGCGAAGAAACCCTAAGTATCGTAGCTTTAATTTCAGTCCACCAGAGTGCATTCGTGATTGAAAGCTCAAAAGCTCTTTAAGAGTGCTGTGTATTTTGGTCTTGATACACCTTTTGCTATCTCATGTAATAATTAATCTTTCGGTTGAAAAGCAAATATAGATTTTACAACCCTATCATCGATTAGCATATAGAGTGATTTTTTTCTGCTGTAGTGAAAAACTAAAAATCGATTGGTTAGCTGAAGGTAAACGTTTTTAAATTGCAGCAACGAATATGGTTTTGTTTGTAAACTGCATCCAGAAATGATGTTATTATTGCACTGAATGAGCTAAACGTAACAAATAAATGAGACCCAATATACACGACTACAATTTTGATCGAACTAGCCAAGGTATGTAAGCCAGTTCTCTTAGTATCTTTAGTTAAATTTTTAATATAATACCACTCATTAGAGCGGTTTCTAAACGGACATGTTAGAGCAGTTTTACTTCAAAATGTCTGCGATATTTCCGAAAACAAAATAGCAAGGGACATGGATGAATTTATTGTGACTCAGTACAAACAAATTGGAAAACATGGAAAGGCGTTTGCGAGTTGCTCAACAAAAATATCACATTCGTTTTGGTAACATTTCTCTATTTGAAATCCATTTAGCCCGACTAATACACTTCTGGAGCCTAGTAGAAAACAAGTCTCTTTTTATGCACAAAATGAACAAGAATAATTTTATTATACACACAAGAGCACTGCAACCAGTCGAGTTTAAATGCGACGTCAAAGATTTCTCGTATGGACAGATGTAATTCACACGTGTTCGTTGGAAATATTGGAAAGATCGTCGTCTCCAGTGTAGGAGTTCACAAGTGGCTCCATGGCTTTTACCAAGTGTTCCGGAACGTCAATTCCACTGTCCTTGAAGAATTTGAGCATCTCTATGGGAATTGGAAAGATTATGGTTGACTTCTTCCCAGAGCTGATGGTGTTTAGGGTCTGGAGGTAGCGTAGCTGCACCGCTATTGGATGCTGGCTGATTTCTAGGGCTGCGAATTTGAGGGCTGAGGAGGCACGCATCTCTCCCTCGGCGGCAATAACTTTCGCGGTGGCCTCTCTCGCTGCCTCGGCCTCCGCCGCCATGGCCCTTTGAAGCTGGATCGGCAGTCTGACGTCCTTGATCTCCACTCTCTCCACCTTGACACCCCAGGCCTCTGTCACAGAATCCAGACATTCCTAGCAAAATGCACACACACATGTCTGTGACCATTGGCAACAATAATTTTTGTACACACTGAACAGATTGCATTTACTGCTTTTAATTAAGCATATCTAACAATTGAGTACTGCTAAGAAAAAGCAAAAGGTTATTGAGATTTTCCTAAACTGGTGTTGTGATTAGCTTTTTTTAAGGTTACGTAAAGTGATGTAAATTTTTATTGATAATTTTACAAGCAAAGAAATTTGTAAAACACAATATTTTGTGCTCTCAGATTTAGATTAAAGCTTATTTTTTTTAAATGAAGCACATAATCTAACGAGAAAATTAGTAGAAATACTAAACTATAACTAAACCAACTAACTGAAAAGTGTTTCAAAGCGAATGATGCACGCATTTTGCCATATATTTGCTGGGAAAAAAAATAAGTAATGCCACTCAGAAACATGGATATGGTAGCGGATCACGTGGGGCAAAACTGCAAACATCTTAAAATTGGTAAAAAGAGTTGAGAAAAATGAGAGTTGGCTGCTTTTCTTCAGGTTTCTTAGTACTTGGGTTTTCACTTATTTAAACAGACATTTGTCACCCACAAGGGTACACACATTCCAAGTTTCAAAAGTAGTGGAATTTCAATCCAATGCAATCCAGAGGCCTACGATCAAAGCCTAATGTAAACTACCTAATTTTTGCTTTCGAATTAAAGTCGCATTCTTAAGTCGAGAAATCCTTATAGAAGCCAAGTTGTCCGTAAAATGATACCAAAATCGGTATTTGCTAGAATCTTTAGTTTAAGGAAAAGCCGTGGTATCCATTTCAATTGCAGCATTCATTCATTGGCATGGGCAAGAAGCGTCCATGGAAAAGGTAGAGGCTGATTGCACACACGGTTAACCAAGTATAACAACATCTCCGTATCTTCGAATTACTACTTATTTCTCTATTCCCGGATTCATAGCCAATGGAAACAAAAGGTCAGAGAAGGCAACTTTTCACAAAGAATATGAAATCTTAGGAAAACGTGCCCCCCCGGGAGTGAATTGGATTGGCTCTTAAGACATGTTACTTTTCCTTCCTTATTAGTTCCCTCTCGGGATAAACTCAGCTTGATTTATTGGGCATAATGTGAGCTGTTACGTCGTGTTTGTAAACCAAATGCGATCGCTCGTTTGATGTTAATCATTTGTGACCTTTTATTTTCTCAGATTTAAATAATGAGGCGCTTTTTTAACTCTTCTCAAACGAAGACCGAATTATGTGTTTGAAAGCGGTAAGTTCTTAAGCATAGAAATCAACGGTAAAAAATTGTAATAAGTATCCGAGATAAAAACCAAATGCACTAAAGAATACTTATGTTATTACTTCATCACGTAGTAATGAGGTAGCAGCAATTTGGTGTTAGATGCTCTGATTTTATAATAAACGCAAAAATCACTACTCGCAGTTAACGGCAAAATACAGCGCATCAGCATTTTAAGGAAAAAACACCAGCTTTATCTGGCCGTTGCATCAGATAGCAAATTAGATTAATTTGAATCGTTCAATGCATGAATGAAACCGTTTTGTCACTGTGGTCGTAACTTCATAAATTTCAAAGAAAAAATAGCTTTGCAAGCAGCATTAACTGATATCAGTTCATGAGTCAGAAAAAATCAGGTTGCAGTGATTATCGAAAACAGCAATTTGAGAAGCCACAACGAGACCAGAGAACGAGAGAAAGGCCGCAAGTAATATTGAAGCTTAAAATGTCATTGCGGCAGTGAGAGTATACGTTTGTGTGAGAAAGCATCTGCAAAAATAGGATCAACTGACATTCATATCACTAAACAAAGGTCACTACTTGAAGTGTACACAGGAGTCAAGTAATCGAATCAGTTAAACTCACGTCCGTTGAAGTCTAGCAGGAACATTCGTAGACCATGATGATTTGACTCACGTTTATGTGCTGATTGCCACCAACATACGTCTTTGGACGAGTGGTTAGAAATAGGCATGTCGCTAAATTGACATTCTATAAAGCGCATTTCTTTAACCACGGTCGAATACACCGAATTATCTGAGGAAAATTTTACAGTGGATTATAGCAAACGCAAGACCACTGTGTTTCATTGCAGGGAAAACAGTTCGCGTTGATGAGGCCGGTAAGAACAGTTTGTGGTAATTTTAACAGCAATTAGTGTCCCTTTCACGCAGAAATTGAATATTTGCATGAAACGCAATAAGCGAGAATTCGGAAAGTCATGAAGCCACAGTGCCCATTTTGTCATTTGTTTGTGAAAATTTAATCATCACAACAGTCTTACACCTGAACATTCAGAAAATTCTTCTCCTTCCTGCATTAATTCATTATACCCTTACAATTTAGATAATTGAACAAACGTTTGATGATGTGGGCATTTAAAAGTACCCGTGTTTGTTAAAGCAATTCCGTTGCATGTAACTAAAAATAAGTAGTCATCTTTTCTACAAATTCCTGTTCAGTTTGATTTAGTGTGTTAACCACAAAATATAGATACAGGAAAAGCCTTTTTTGACAATCTTAGTCGCATCTATGATTGGAAAGGCTTGTAACTGCTCATTGCTTCTGAATTTTTCCTGTGGTGTCATTGATTGGCTAACGAGCTAAATCAAAGACGCTAGACATTGAGTTGCCCGGTATTTGAAATAATGTTTGCTTAAACGAATTGAAAGGCAAAAGATGACTTCTAGGTGAGACTACATGGCTAGAGTGCAACTGGATTTCAGTAAATATAGCAGCATTTCATGCATGACTATTACTGTGGCCTATGCGTTCAAATTTGCAGTAAAAATTTTTGCAAGTCACTGGAACCTGTGGCTGTCTGAATTGTGACATGCTCTTGCATTTTTCCGGATAACATACGGGCAGAACTTTTTTTGTGTGTGTGTAGAAGGACTTTTTGCGCAAAACAGTGCAAATTGTATGCATCAAATGCAACTTTGAATTAGGGGTCAGTGTTTTAAGCGAAAACAATTATTGCAGAGTGATTCTTCTGGAGTCTATAGGCAGTTTTTAAACAGTTGAAATGAAAGGTTAAGATTATTAACAAACTGTTTTAGATGCATTTTTTAAAAATGTAATAGATCGTGCTTAAATATTAACCAGCACTGACAAATGTGAAGAATTTAGTCATGTAAAGCAAATGAATGATCTGTGCATATTTTTTGAGGCCATAAATGTAACCTGCCATCATTTTTCTGGTTTTATATCATCTATGGTTTCTTGACACATGCACTCTGAGTTTTACATACTTAGTGAAACACTTTGGCGTCATTATCACACCACACTGACATTCACTTCGATTCAGGCAGCAACTTGTACAACTAGCCTTGCGTTCCCAAACCCTTACTATGTTAACTGAACACTTATTGTGTTTAGTTGGCAAATGGATGGTGTGTCTAATGAATGTGCAGAGACTAAAAACGAATTAAAAGGCATTCCAACGTCTCAATTTCTCCATGACGAATAGGCCAAATGCTGTCTGTTTGAATTATTGTTGCGAAAAAAAGCCACGTAAAACAAATCCACAAAGCCGTACATCGGAAGCGGCGCAGGCTTTCCTTATTAGAGTTGATTTGCCCTTGGCTCATTAGGTAATAATTTTTGTTAAATTAAATTTTTCCAAGGGCATGCACAAGAGTGCATTAAGAGGTCACGCGCTGCAATCTCTCCGTCAAAACTGATGTGCACGCTTTTAACAAATCAGCGCATTATTTTATTAGTTTTTAAAATCAAACCTTCGCGAATTTCCACGTGTTTAACACCGTGTGTGGGGGAAAGATAATTATATTTTATAAATGAATAAAAAAAGATGGCTGTGTTTTTTTGATGTATCGTCTTAATAAGCATTTGTCAAAACTTACTTTATTATTTTAGAACTTTTTTTCACAAAACTCCCAATTTAATAGAAATTGGAAAAAAGGATTAATCAGGCCTCAGACTATAGAAGGAACAAGAAGCAACACTGAACGCAAATTGAATTACTTTCAAATTGGTCTTGAAGTCTCGAAAACTGATTAGTTGCTTTAAAACAGGCTTTATGGATTCAGTGAAATCCATAAATGTATTCATGGTTAGGGCTTTCACTTAAAGGAAGCACTGAGGGTTCACAATTTATTACTTGTTTTTTGCAAACTAGTGATGCAATACTTCTTTCAATCCGACCTGTCATTATCAGACTAACATTCTGCAGGAAAATTGGAGAATGGTATATGAAGGTTTATTTTAAGAATGATACTTTAACAGTCATAAATTTCATTATTCTAGAAATCTTCGATCATTCGGCAAGGCACAGCAAATGGAAGGAGAAAGCTTAATGGAATTTTTGTCGCTTTTTTAAGGCTGGCGATAAAGTGTCCCAAAATAAACTTTTATTGTTGCTTCGAAGGGCATGTAAACATGATAATGAGAAATTTGGTCAATTAACATGCCAAGATCAAAGGATCATCGAAGTCTAAAAGTGCAGACGCGTTATAACAGTTGGCGCGGCTTTTGATTTTAGAACAACGTGGTTAGACATCATCCTTAATCATACTCAACATAACGTTCTATACATATTGACTAATCCACGAGTGTGTTCAACAACTAAATGATCATAACGCTGGAATAAAGTAATTTTAACAAATGTTTTCCATTAAATCAATGCTGCTATTTAAAATGGTTGGGCACAAGGGAATGATGCTTTTTGTGTACAATAAAAGCTCTATTTTTACATGAAGAACGAATTTTGATTGGCTGAGCATGCACTACCCCATCAGTTTTGCATCTTAATGATTTTTTATTGAATAAATTTGTAGCTGCTGTAATCGATAATCGATGACATTCGATAAACTCATGAATGAGCTCCACTCGCGCCCGTTTGATGAAAGTTCGCTACAACTTAATTCCTTGGTTTGAAAAGTTGAATCAAATGAAATTTCAGCTCATCAGTAAAATACCTACCACGTAAGGAATTTGCAGGCAGCAGCATAAATGGTAGTCGCATGCTGTAATGTCAGAGTTACATGGCGATGCGATTTGACTTCCTCACAAACTCCAAGGTTAATTTTATACCTCCGACTTTGCAATGTCTTTATAAAGCAGGCAAGCTAAGTCTGGGTGTTTTGCTGCAACTGATTTGTCCATTATTGTTACTTGCAGAAGGTTAGCATACAAATAAGTCGTTTGAAGTGACAAATCCATCTTGACAACAAAAAAACTAGATAACGTCTTTAGTTTCCAATGTAGTGTGAGTTGGCCCATCAAACTTAAAGCACAATAGCTTTGAGTTAATTTCTTGAAAAATACATTCCATTAAAGAAAAAAGTGAACAAAATATGTCAAACATGCTTGCTTTTTAATTAGTGCCTGCACAAACCGAAGTTAGTATCCCTAATAATGGAGCAGGCGCCGTGTGATTCTCGTGTTGAGTATAATTGACACCAAATAAACGTCCGAAACAAAAGCTCACAGTTATTTCATAAGGGTGAAAATAGAATTTTCGCAATAAAAAATTGCGCTGATTAAAGGTATATTCTTTTTTGAATAATATCTTTTGTTAATATTATAAAATTTGGGTAAACTTCATATTTATTGCGCCACCTTGTATTTCTAAATGCTGTCTTAAGACCTAACTTGTAGGTATGTTCACTGCGCAATTAAAAAAAATTAACTTGAAGAATTTCGCAGGGTAATTTATTATCATTATTCAATAATTTACACAGCACCACAAAAGTAAACAAGACCTAATCTTAATTAATTAATGCCACAAACAAAATCTTTTTTCATTAGACTGCGTCGTATCTGCATTGCAAGCAGTGATTGCAAGATATAATATTTGTTGCGAGATTGCGTATTAATATTTTCTGAAAAAAATTGTAATTTTTAATAATAAATAGGGATCAGTCCGACCTTATATCTCTGATTCTATATTTGCCAACGCATCAGTTTAAGTCTTACATGAATTAATCGATATTCTGCTGTTCAAAATCGATTATCACCTAAAGCCATATGCATGAATCATTATGCAACTTTAGTTCCAAGTAAAAAATGACTTGAATGCATTCTCTGAGATCATACTTGCATCAGGATAGCTATATCCTCTCTGGCTGTGAGTAGTTCGTCCAAATTCACTGTGCCCAAGACATTCCTCAGCGTTGTCTGGCCAAGTAGCCGTGTTGACCTATTCGCGTCTTCGACGTTCACCACTGCACACACCGGATTTCGAATTCGGTAGTAGACGACCGCGTTGACGGCGACAGTGAGCGAGTCCTTCGTCAGTACCTCCTGAGTTGGTACGTTGAAGGTGAAGGTGCGGAGGTCCACGACGCGGCAGTTGTCTAAGCAAGGAAGGAGGAAGATGAGTCCGGGGCCTTGCGCCTCTGAAGCAAACAGCCGACCCAGTCGGAATACCACAGCGCGCTCGTAGTGCGCAACGACCTTAAAAGTGAAGCACAAATAAGCACACTTATTAGTGTTGTGCCAATTTCCATTGGAAGGCCGAGAACAGTGCAGTGACATTAACTGCACAAATTTCAAGCAGCAGCGAATGGCTTTTTAAGAGAAGAAATGGGGAACAGGTTTATCAAAAGTCAAATGCCATTGGGAGCCAAAAACAATTTTTTGTCATACCTAGCTGTGGGAAAAAACGTTTGGAAAATTGATGGTGTTTTTACACGGGGTCGGTGCTGGTGCCTTACGAATTAACTGTCCTGAGGTAGCTGCAAAATACAAACAGTACGCAGAAGTAGGCAATTCCAGGAAAAGATCTGTGATTTCACCAGATGTTTTTCATTAGCATTTGAAAAAAATTCTCTCTACAGAAAAATGTCTCCTTTTCTGCAACAAAACACAGGACACTGAACACCTGAGACCAGAATTCGCGCAGTCCCCTGCCCGGCCAGTCATCGCTTCCACCAAAAAGTCCGATTTTTTGATCGACCGCAAGCAAAATGCCAAGCTGGCTTTTCCAAATGTCAGTTAAACCGTCGCACATTAATTTTGCGGTTCCGAAGACACGTCCCAGATTGGAAAGGTAGTGAGTTAGAACATGGTAAAGGTCACTGCCTGTTTGTGTATTACTTATTACTGTTGCAAACCATTTTAATCTATTGCAATATCAACCATAAGGTTAACAAAACACGGTTGTTAAAAGACCTATTGGTAAGAACAATATTTGTGAGAACGAGAACTTCAGTGTTTTTACTCTGTGAATCCGTTTAAAACACACATAAGCTTCTTAGCTCTTCATGCCTTCCGGCAACTATGTTTCTGAAAGCGATTTTTTGTGCCTTTGGTTTATGTAAGCTGCTTGATCTTACAAATTAGGATTTGCCGACAAAATCTTGTGCGACGAAGTTGTCTGATTTAGTTATATTAGTTGATAGTAGGCTTTTAGCGTAACAAATGCGGTTTTAACAAGGAGTGACTAGGCGTACTTGTTGCGGTAGTCTTAAACAAGATGAATTTATTTCAAACACTGCTACCATATAAGCCGTTTGTAGCAGAGTCCAAAATGTTGGTGCCGACACGTACTTAGTGTGTGATTAGCTGATGTGCATAATATAGTATTTAATTCATTATTTTCACACGGCATTTCGGTTTATGCACATTTATCACCGCGTAATTGAGGTATCTATTTTAATAATTAACAAAACAAGAAATACAATGCGGTTGTCAAGGCAGCCACAAGTATTATTCAGCAGAAAAAACCTAAGACATTAAACAAAAATTGCTGAATTTCCAAAGTGGTAATTAGAGTCATTAATAGAAGCAGCCTATCTACCTTAAATGGTAGATAATGAATCAATTGTAGACAAAATTAAGCAAATTACAACATTCTGCGCAGTTACTGGTTCTCTTGACAACAATCCTGTGACCTGCTAGGGGCAAACATTTAACTAATTTAATGGAACAGGGATACCTTGCGTAATAAGTTATTTGGAGTTCGCGAATACGTTTTGCGCTTGTTTGATTTCGATTTTATTAGAATAAACTTTATTAGACTCATCTTTTAAAAGATGATAAATCAATGTTTGTGGAATAAACAATGAGAAACAGGAACCAACACCGAATGTAAATTGAATTGAAGTCTTGAAGTCTCAAAGACTGAAAAGTTGCTTTAAAACAGGCCTGGTGGATTCAGTGAAGTCCATTAATATAGTCATGGTTAGACATTTCACTTAAAGGAAGCACTGAGGGTACGGACGAGGACAAATTAAAACTTGAAACATGCAAGCCATCATGATGCAATGCTTATTTTCTACAAGATTAACAAACAAGAAATGCACGACATTCTTGAAATTAAAAATAGATTCTGCTATTTTCCAGAACTCGAAACACCAATTTGGGGTGTACTACTACAAGACGGGCAATTTCAAAATCTGTAATTAGTTACTGACTTGCGTTTTTTCCAATCAAGCTGCGATATCGGTTCATGGAAAGTGAAGTCAAGCCAGAAGACTCAATTCTATGTAGATCTGTGAATGTCCTTTAAAAGTTCAAACTTTACGAAAATGCTATAAACCAGAGTTAATGAGTAGAAATCATGCAATCAACCCACGACACATCTAGCTCCGAACTCAGCTAGTCTACCCATAGGGTAGGCAGATTTCGCTTAACTCCTATATCACATCGGGAGTGGGGAGGCAGGCATCTAAGTGCCTGCAGTAGCTGGCCAAAATTTGACTCATTTATGGATGGCTTTTAAGGGCAAAGTACCAACCAGACTGCGGTATAAGATGAAAGCTTGCAGCAAATTTGTAGTTACAAATAAACCTACCTCCTTGCTCTCCACTAAACAAACTTACAAAATATGCTTGTAATGCATTTAATCCAGGCCAAAAAAATTCCCAATGAACACGTGCAGTTCAGTTACAAATTGAGGTGTAAGAAGAAATCAACGATTTACTTTATTTGTCAACACTGACAATAATTGCAAAGTGTGGTAGTAATTTATGCTTAGTGTTTTAAATTCCAACAGCATGTCAAGTCTTGCTTTGCGCCGTGATAAATTTGCATTCCGTTTTCTGCAAACGGAAGTCACAGCACACACATGAAAGGGGCGAAGAGTTACGTTTTTACTACTAGGTGTACATTTGCGACAGTGAAAATTGCATTTTGGCACCTGAGTGATTTATTAAATTAAAAGAGTTGTAAAAAATAGTGTGCTAATTTTACTTTCGAGAATAAGTACAACTCTGCAAAGTAATGCACTTTTTTTCGAAATTTGGCATTACAGTTAGGGTATACAGGAATTTTGCAATTTTTACGATAGTATGAACCGTCCATTCTGGCATCTGTGACGAAACGCCGTGTACTTTTGTTTGATTAACCCCAGATTATGCTACGTATATACGTGTATTTTTCTTTTAAATATTAAACAAACGAATCTAAATTGCTTACCACATGGTTTTAGCGTAACTTTGACTTTTTAAAGGTCTGCATTAGGTGCCTTTTGCATTTAAAAACACCAGTTACACCCTTAGCAAATATGGGCAATTTTAAAAAAAAACAACTGTCTTCTAGATTAGATCAAACTTAGCGCTCAATGTAAGCAAAAAAAATTAATTGCTGCTTATGTACAAAAAATGAAAGTAGAAGGCTCCTTATCTGGTTTGTTCAAATCCTAGTTAAATAAAAGACTAGTTTGTAAATTTTGGGATTTTGATCAAAGATTATAAATTTCAGAATACAACACTTGGGCTAACTTTTAAGTAGCTAGTAAGTGATTGGCCAGTTAAATTAAACAAAAAAATGGCCAGCTGTTTATTAAAATCTAAATCAATGAATTTTGCGTAATATTGGCAATTGTAGTATTAAATATCTTCCCCATTTCGTTAATTTTGTCATTTAAATTGCAATGTTTACTACACGTAATTTAGCCAAATGCAAGACGTTTTCGGTAAAACTGTTATACTTACTTAAAAAAATACTATTATGGCTGGATACACGATTCGGTTACGTTCCCATACACAATAATAATACTATGGTCCATCTAATTGCATTTCTATGACTTAAAATTTGAAGTTTCTTTAAATAACAAAATATTTTTTACCAACATGTCCCCAGCTATACACGACGGGTTAGGTGAAAGTCTGTTTAAGTTGACTTAACGGGTATGTTAAAATAAATATTAAAATATCCACATTCGACATTTCAAAAATGTGCTCCATATCTGAACCCAAGTACAGGTAAAAGCGTATCTGTTTCGTTAAGGCATTGCGCACCCACAGCACACCGTGGCTATCATAAATGCATCCCAATGACATTTCCTTCCCACATGATTTACACCATTCAAGGTGTGAATTTTCGACCAAGGTTGCGACATTCCTGGGAGAGGATAGGAACACAAAGCAGTGATAATGTGAATGACCACGAAAACACCACATTTAACTTGAATTAGCACCTTAGGTGAGGTGTCGCATGTAGTGGCAATAAATCGAAGTCAGGGAGACGTGTTGTCACAGGAGGTGTGCCTGTTCCAGAGTCGATTGGAAAGAAGGCTAAATTGTGTGTTTAGTGGATTTCTGGCGAGTGTGCTACGCTCTGCATTCTGTGAAGATTGAATTGCGTGTCTTGAAGCAACACGCAACGAATAACGATTACGATACATGAGGCGAGACGCAAGATCGGGGGATTACCGATGGCATTATCGAACACGGTAGGAATGCCCACA